AGATTAGTATTGTCTTCTCTTTAAGATTGTGTATTAGGTTGATTTTTTTATGGTATAAGTCGGCAAACGAGCTTACGGATTACCTGATGGTAAGCAATCGGCGCCGCCCATGGAAACCCGCAACACCAAAGGAGTTACGAGTTCATTACCGGCCTTTTGGGGATGAGGGTTGGGGATATAAGGATCGGGAAGGGATAGGGCAGGGGGAGGTATTGGGCCTCTGGTGACCTTATTTACACGGCGAAACACAACGCTGTGGTTGTTTCACGCCGGTATTCTGTGAGGCCGTGGTATCACTCCGGTCGAGTCGACCCATTCGTGCCGAGGCTTGGCTCTCCCACATTTAGTGAAATGTTAATTGTCAAGTTTGAAGGTGAAAAGTTACGTCGTGTTAAGAAGTCAAAAGTCGAATCGAGTCGACTAGAGATTTTCGAAAAAATAAATAAAGATAAGCCACTATCTAAGAAAAAAGGACCACAGTCGGCTACAAATTGAAGTTCAAGAATCATTGCGAGATTGCAGACAGTATCAATTGCAAATTGCAACAACATAAGTGATATAAAGCTAACATACACTTAATGTATGATCCGAAGTATTAAAGTAATGTCTCAGATAAATCCCTGTTATATTTCGACATGGAAGAATCAGCACGCGACATCGCAAAGGTTTAAAATGAAGGCGAAAGCGATACTTTAGCATTCTTAATTGTAAAATTGATTATACAAATGATCGTGGTGATAAAAGTAGATTGTCAACTCAATTTGAATGCAATATCTATGAGCAACCGAATCAAAAATTGCTTGCTTGTAGTAATGAAGCAAGCAAACAGGAAAAATTTAGTCAGATCAGGTAAATTTCTGTACCATTCTGTTGTTAACGACCACATTCTTTTGGAATCATGAAAACATCTTTAAATGACTGAATGTTCTTCTTTGTCAGCCTTTCCTCCAAAAGACCAAGTTTCAAAGTAAATTTTGGTCCTCTGATACTAACTTCGCCATCATCCTATAGCTTGTCCTACCTCTCATCACAGGAAGCGATGTCACAATTGGCGTGGCGAGCGTCAATTTAATGATCTGCCCGCGCCCGGACGACGGTCATTGATTCTCGTAACATTGGCGCCATTCGGCGAGTCTTTTGTTTTAACTCTGTGTATTTCAGTGTGAGTCTTCAACAAATTTGTTTGGAGAAAATTACAATTAGTATTTATAAACAAAATAAGTAGAATGTAATGATTAGCTTTACTATACATCCAAAACAAATTTGAAGAGCGTTTTAGATTTACTTATTTTGGGTTTCATACGAGTCGTACAAAAAATATCATAAAATAGTTTTAATTGTTTTTTCCATCGGTTTTAGTGTTCATGGTTTTATGAGACTAATATTCTAGAACAAATTAGAGTAAAAAACCACACCTAGTTTGTTCTTCTCAAAAACTATAACTACATGGTATGAGTATAAGAAATCATTTTGTTTTCTTTATAAAACAACTCTTGAATGAAATCTATTCCATTCTTAACCACATTGGTCTTTTTATCCAGCGTCTCGATTTAGATCTACAAAACGTTGCTAGTACTAAGCTTGCTGCTAGTTTTAAAACTTCTTCCCAATTGTGGTAATTAAGATTGATATTGGAAGTCTTCCCAAAATGTACACAAAGGCCACTTCCTGGTTTCACATCATCACCATGATTCATTCTTGCAATGTCAGTCTTGGCCATTTAAAAATAGATATCCCTGTTCACACAATGACGATCTTTTTCTATTTATAGTAATTGGTGTTGTACAAATTTTACCAATTCCGTTAGTCGGCCGGTCGGCGGCTTTGGACTCTTGATGGTCTTAATTTTTTTTATTGTTGAAGATTTTTTATTTTCATCATTGAAATCACCTTCATCTAGTGTATAACCTGGGTGACATCAAGGCCTGAGAGAATATATTACTTATAAGCAGGCTTGCTTCGTCGTAGGCCGCGTTACTACTCAACACCAAGCAACATAGTTGACAAACGCCGCACAATTAAAGACAAAAAATCCAGAACATTGATAATTATAAATTAATTTAGTACTTACCCTTTTCTTCTGTAAGTTATCAAAATTTCTGTTACCTTATATCTTGTCAATGAACATACGTACGTATTATCAACAACTGACCATCTACAAACACCGTCGGATCATTTTCATTTTAGCTCCATCATAGGTGCCTCTAAGAACATTCAAGAAATAATTTTCGTCCACAACACATAACTAGTTCTGTTCTTCCCAAATGATTTCATATGAGTTATCACAAAAACTAACTAACAGTCATAAATAATAAATTCATCCAAAAAGCAAAAGTCATAATTCATTAAATATATGTTTAAGGTAGAACAGGCTAAGAAACTGCATCATAGCTAATCATATTTAATCTAACGTGGTTCTTGTAGATGAGTCCCCATAGCACTTATCCATTACTAGTACCGGTGCCGCCGACCTTAACACTCCTGGCGCCACCGAATCGCTCTCTTCCTTTGCACTGATTGCTCTTGCTTGCTTTGTTCCTGTCCTCACGCCAGATACCTTCAGACCTAAATTTGTATTGTCACCTTGGTCAGTTTTCTTAAATCACAATTTCTTTGCTGTTTTTCTTAGTACCTATTTGTCTCTTTTGTTAAATTGTTTAGGTATTTTGTAATTTGCCATTTTTGGATGTTTTTTTTTTGAATTATCTGTTAGCATAATATTCAATGAATTAAGTTAATATTGACATTTACTTTCTACCTTCCATTAATTAGTAGCTCTATAAACAATTATCAATTTAAGTAATTCAAAACATGGTCCTTAGTTACGTCCTCCATAGTGACTAATTCGGCTGTTATAACAAGTGGGAAGACTCGACCATGTTAAAGTTTTGACCATTAAGAGCGGTTGGCGCCACAAAATCGGTATCTTCCTCTACTCCGATTAGCCTTGACGCTTATTTACATCCTTATCCTGCTGTGTTAGTCATAATTCATCTAAAAGGGCTGTTGACAAAATATAAAAATGTCACACCATTACATTTGAAATGAAAGTCATTTATTGAGCTTGGATTTTGATGTCAAATAATGCCAGCAATTCGTATGTATGATTATAAAATTGGATTTAAAATTTAAGTAACTTGTTATTCCGTATGCCCCGATTCTAACAAACTTTAGTGATGTTTTTATGGATATCGAGTAAAATCATCAAGTCAAGTTAAGCAAAGTTATTGGGGTTACAAACTTTCAGCTCAGTCGAGAGGGAGTATCAGACTTTTACTCACTTAAACCACCTAATTTTTTCTCCTACTTCGGGCCGGGATTCGTGACGTTATAGAGCTTGCCCCCGCATCACCGGAAGATAGGCTATCGATGATAATTCCGAGCAAATAGCCAAATTACTCTGAGAAGCTCCAGAACTCTTTACTTATATTTCCTTTTCTTCGTTTGTTACTCAAATCCGAGACATCTATAACAATTTCAACCATCTTTAACCAAGATATTCATTTTGAATCCTAACCCCATACTCTGAAAAGCCATAATCGCGATAAAGCAATAAACCAATATTCCTCACTTAGCCGTCGCAAATTCAACTAGGGTCGGCTGGCGCCAGAGAATCGGTTGCTTCCTTTCAAGCACTGATTGTCTCATTTATAGCCATCCGTATGTAATCACGTGGTAGACCATCCATCTACATTAGTGAACAAACAAACTGACAGGAAGATAGAACAATAGTCCTTATTGTAACTGATCATGGTTCACCACAAATATTTTTAATTCTTCATATTAAAAGGCAGAGGTAAATTACGGATCATTAACCCGTTAAATGCAATGGGGGACGAAATTTGGGCCCGCTAGTTGAACTACCTTCAATAGTAATCTGTCAGCAGTCAATGATCAAAAAGTTAAATCAGATTTCACACTACGGGGGCGGCTGGAAAATCACTTGACCTACACCTGGTATTCATAATTTTTACATCAGTGTCTTATACTTTTACCAATTTGGCTTCATGTTGGTATAATTACTATCCACTTATGCTCTGAATCGAAAGGATTACTATCATTTTAATGCTAAAAATGCCTCCGAAACACAAATAAAAACGACCTTCGCCCATAATTTATATCTACTTAGACTTAACTATAAAATTTATACGTTTACTACATAATGATAATACGTTACGTAAAGTTATAAATCCAATGTTTTCCGAAGGTCAAATTGTTATCAGGATTTCGTGGAAATCCTCTAATGGGGTCATATGGACTCTGTAATATTTAGACCCATTTTCTACAAGTTCCATAAAAAGTATATGGGAAATGGATAAAATTATTAAGAAATCGCTTCTTTCTTAGTATGGATCTAAGGACCACATTCGAATACCTATAATTATTGATTTCAGTCCTCTATCGAAGTTTAGTAAAATTCATAATAAATTTGTTTTTTTAAACTACAAAGAAAATAATGTTATAATATGTCCATGGGTAAGCAAATTACAGCTAGGTACCGTATTATTCCTTTTTTTAAATACATAATCATCTATTTTCTCTCGTTTAAGATACTATTTCCAGCCATTAATTTAAGATAAGCAAAATATATGAAATCGTTTTCAAAAAAACAGGCGTGACATTTCCAAAATACTTATAAACCACGGTACTTAGTATAAAACAGATATATCAATAATTAACAAACCTACAACCGTACATCAATATAACATCAAACAAATAATTAAATCATAAAAGTGAACATAGAAAAACAATAATTATTGCTTTAATCAGTATGTCTATCAGAATTACACGGAATACATGTAATCGATTATTTTTAATATCTTGTAACAACGGCTGTGATTACCTAAATACATGTTCAGATAATTTTTATCGATAATCCATTTGAAATTGTTCGCGATATAATCGATGTAAAATCATATATTTACTTGTTATACGAGTATGTATGTTGTATTTTTATAACTAAATGATTTTTATTGGACCCATCGTTATGGTTACAGTTTTAGTATATTTTCGGTACTTCACTTTTCTATTAATAGATTGAAAATAAGTTCGTGTTTGTAATCCTTATCCTTCTTTGAAAATAGTCACTTACTAACTTTCAGCAATTTATATATATATTTTTTTTAATGTAATAAGTCGGCAAACGACCAGACGGATTACCTGATGGTAAGCAATCAACGCCGCCCATGGACACCCGCAACGGAGGAGTTACGAGTGCGTTGACGACCTTTTAGGGATTAGGGATTTGGAGATTTAGGGATTGGGGAAGGGTCCAGGAAGGGGAAGGATTGGGCCTCCGGTAACTTCACTCACACGGCGAAACACAACGCTGTGGTTGTTTCACGCCGGTTTTCTGTGAGGCCGACTCCGGTCGAGTCGACCCATTCGTGCTGAAGCATGGCTCTCCCACACTTAAAATAAATATTTAAAATAAATAATATCTAATATCAGTTCATCTTTTCTTCAAACTCATGTCCATAGGACCTTGACTGTACCTAATCCCTAATATCAAAAAATGGTTCTTACAAACCACTATGTTCTAATACATATGCATTCAAATTCTACAAACCCAATAGTCCGCAGATATATTCATCAAAACTCCCATTACATTTCATGTACAATTCTAAGAACGAATAAATTCCGAGTATTAATATCACGCGTGAAGAAAGTGCACGGATGCAATGAAGTTATTTAGCTACTTAATTGCCTTTTGACGGGGTATGGACGTGGTGCCGAGGGCATGAAACAAATCATGACTGACCATTTCATTGATAAGACAAACATTGAATTGTTTGATGTTAAGTGGGCAGCTAAGATGGAACTCGTTAGAGAAGAAAGTAAAGAGTTTGTGAAAGGGCTAAGAAAAATTATGTGGCATTATTGACTTATAGAAGGAAAATAAATAACATAATTGTGCAGGTCAGGACGTGTGAAGAAATTTACAAACGTTAATCAATGACTGTTAATCGGCATGCTAGTGCATATCTCCGAAACGGCAGCACCTATCTGCAAAAAAATTTTGTTGTAAACTGTTAAGGTGTTAGTAAGTTTAGTAACAAACATTGATAAAATGCAGTAAAATTCTTCTGATATTGGGTTGGAGATATAATGCATTCAGTATCTACAGCTCTTGGATAAAAATAATTATTTTTATACGGTTTTGATTGGATAGGACCGAGTTACTTATGGCTATTTTAATATGGAAATATAAAAAGGCTACAGTAGCCGATAGAGTGACCGTGAAGTGCTCGTCCTTCTCCATAGAAACGATGTCTTTTTTAACTTTTTATCAAAATAAAAAAATATATATAATTATCCTTGCGCAACGACAAAGCGTAAGTTTAAAAACTATATATTTCATAATTAAAAACTATATATTTCCTTGCCCGACAACAACGCGTAATTTTAGCGACACACTAACAAATTTGACTCTAACTGGATCGTCGCTTTTGTTTATAAGCTTTTAAAATTTTGGTGGTGGTTTAAAACATATAATTTCACATACACATTACACCCAAACCTTGAAAAACAATTTGTTGATCATACAAAAAAAATCTGTGAACCTGCGACACGTTGAACGGCAGCCAGATGCACCAACCGTGCATCTAGTATTTAAGACCTTTAATTAAGATTGATTGATATAATATTATTAATTAGCTTAGTACCACTGTAGATATGTACAGACAGACAAATTGCTTTAAATGCAGGATATGAATAGATAGCGTGTATGATAAGCATGGATTTGGAAAATACGTGTTTTTTTTAAACGTTTATTGCACAAGATAAAGATGGAGCGAATGTTCGAACATAAATTTGTACCAAAGAGATACTCCTTCTAGTAAAATTACTTCAGACAGTAGTCAGTGGATAAGTCCTATCGTTTTATTAGAGAAAAGGGCTTATTGTCAAGAAGTAAATGAACTTGGATTTATTGCCAAAGTTAGTTTTGAGAACTTAAAAAATAAGGCAAAAAAATATAGCAAAGCGAGCGCAATAACGCACTGCAGTCTCTAACCTTAAGCAGGAGAAAGAAGGAACAGGGTAGTTTTTAGTCAAGAAGAGTGTGACACTCCCTCTCGCCTCACCCAGAGCGAGACAGATAGAGTGAAATGACTTCCATTAGATGACTTTTAAACAGCAATAACACAAAAAAAATTACAGCCAAGAATTAGCCAGAATTCTAAGACTTTTAGAAGATTTCCAAGCTCTTTTTTTCTAATAATCTAACACAGATTCCTAGATAAAACTCGTCCACGATCAATTTCCACATAGTACGGGCAGATGCGCGTGAGTCACTTAGCTGGCGTTCGTGTAATTACGGTGACACTGTAATGAGGAAGTGTCCTACTAATGAATATTGACTAGTTTACCCTCATCGTGCATTTGAGCCGATTTCAAATTCATTCATAAGATTTTTCAGATTATCATCATTAATATTTTTCTTTGAACAAATATTAGTGTTACACTGTTCTTACGTTTTCGAACCAACTTAATAATGTATCAAAGAATCTGTATGTGAAATTGATAAAAAAGAGTACTACTAAGAGAACAGGCCCGACAGAATTACACTTTTTATATTTAAGCTTCGTTTGACTTTCAAAAGTGTCTGTAAGCGTCTAATTAAAATAAATAATTTTGACTTTAATATTGACTGCATCATCATCGCCATCTTTCGAGTAAATACATTTAGGAGAAAATATTACATGCATTCCTTTTTTTTTTTAATTTGGACTAAAATTGTGACAGTGGATAGTTGATTTAGAACTTTTAGTTACAGAGCATAAAGTACTAAATCGAAGGCGTCGGTGATGTAATGATACATATCATTTTCCTTTCTTTCTACGCATATCATGATACGAAGGAAATGTAAAAAAACTCACTTTAAAGTTTACAATACAATTCCGTAATAGATATCTAATTTTTATTTTATTTAGTTAATTGATAATATAATTTAATTGATTCAGCAATTTAATTACTAATATAGTTTTGTCACAATTATTATTTTATGCCTAAAATGGTGGAGCAGTGCAAGAGCACAACAAACTGTAGGACAACTGTCTTTAGCCACTGTCTCACAATAAAGATCTTTGACTTTGACTTTAATGTCACGCATTTGCTTCCAGGTGTAACAGCTAGTGAAGCCCTACGAAATGGTTTGTGCCAATCTCTGTGGGGTGCTTCAGCCAGTCGATCAGAACCCAGGATCGCATCACCACCACCACCAAGCCATGAGACTCCGTACCCAGTCAGAGGTAAGGATATTACAAAAGATTTATTTATTCATTTACCTTTATGCACAAAGAATATGGATGGGCTTAGTTATCATTTTTTTTTATTTAGTTATCTTTCTATTACACAATAGTAAGTTAATTATAAGCTATGCCCCACAAAATGTTGTAAGTAAGTTGTAATGATTTGATTGTGGGATCCATGAGTATCTATACAAATGCCTACAGGCCTTCTCGCTTGCCAACCTTTGGGTGTTGCAGTGAGAGTAGGTCGAAAGATGTATTCTAGCAATGCATTTCTTTTTCTTTATTGCCATTAACCTAAGCTATTTGTGGTCGCTGCAATGTTTTTTAATTTCTTTCTTTATTTAAATGGCATCACTGCCTTTTCTCCGTTTACCGTGTCTAACAATATGAGGCTTAGTTCGTCTGTTCTTCATTTAAGTTTTACATTAAAATTTGACACTCATATTTTTATAGTAGTATCCACTACTTATTATCTATGTTATAAATAAATAGGTATTGTATAATACAAACTATTCTATTGCATAATTTTAAAAACTACTTCATGTAACTCAAATTCTGAACTCGAAGACTATTTTGATCAGCTGTTGCACTAATGATGACTTGAACAAATGCAGTCTTAAACTAAAATCTTGACGATTATCAATAACCGACAAAGAAGCCGGCTCAGTAAAATAAGGAAAATGTCAAAAACTATTGATTCTTGTAACGCAAACATTGAAATAGGTACCTAAATGAAAAAGATAAATCAATAATCTACCGAAACGCCATTGAAATTGAAAACGTGCATAAACTATGCCACTTTTTCGTTGAAAAGACGACGATGTCTTGCACCAAAATATGAGCTATCAAATCGTCACATTACGTCACTTGTTCATTTAATCCTATTATGAAACATGACTTTTGCACCTTTTGACAGTACCGCCAATAATCTTGAATTTCAAGTGTTCCTACAAATATAGACGGATAAATAGTATCTTCTGTATATAGATAAAAATTCGCCAACAGCAACCGAAATCGATCAAAATAACGACTAAAGTCCAAATTGAGAGGAAAAAGGATTTGTTGAAGAACATATTGTCTATGATGTGTAAGATTATTTTTAAGTCTATTTTGATAGATCATAGAAATAGTTTTGGTACTATGAGTAATGTATGGTTTGTTGTTAGTTTGGAATTGATTTAAAACTCTATGACTGTCGAGACTAGGTATTTTTTTCTATTACCATGAAGCTATCTTATGGAAACGTGATAAGCGATATTTATTTTAGAAGAAACAACTGTATTTTGGACCGAAAAGCAGAGTTTGATCGATTAAATCATTATTAATTATATTTATTATATTTCCACTGAAATAGAGAATCGATTTCACTGTTATTCGTATAACAATACGACTGCAAAACTGTCCAAAAATAATGAAGAACATAAATTAAACGCCGTCAAACTCATACAGGACTTCCCTATCTATATTGCAGTACAGGCTACATCAAATGACCTGAAACTAATACCCAATATTTAATAACAAGTAAAAACTCCAATAACATTTGGTTCCTAAATCCCACGGCTTCAGATTTGGGGTTGACATTATCTTATCAGAAAACGTCAACTCGTATCACTGGCAAAATTACGTTGTTTTATGACTTTGATTTTGGCGGTGCCACAAAGGTAAGATAACGGTGTCGATATCCTCTATCGACAGTTTAAACGGGCATGTTATGATGCTTGTAATTTTTGTGTCGAACAAATTTTGTCGAGATAAGGTATGGATAGAGAATTAGTGGCCTGTTATGAATACGCTTATAACTTTATTGGCGGTAGCCATTTTGTATGACGTGTTACAAGCTCGGACTTGATGCTCGGATGATTGCGTTATTTTTCCCTCGGCACAGTGAAAAAATAAAGCTTGCGTTTGTTTGTATATTAAGTTCTACAAGTCTATGAGTGCTAAAGAGTTTTAACTGTAGAAATTAATAGCGAAAATTCCATTGCAATTGCTCGATAAGATAAAATTTTAAATTGTTTTTTTAAAAGCTATTTACTGAGTACTTCGTTTATAATCAAAATAAACCAATTAAAATGTTTTGCCTACTACTTTACTGATGTTGAAATTTTATTGACTAACAAGACTTTCCATTAAGAAACAGGAAAGTAACACATTTGGCCAATTATATTATAATTCATCAAAAATACCCTACTTGTATAACCACTTCCAAAATAAAGTCGAGAAAAATAAAGAAGAAAATAATAAAGAAGAATAGTTATTAACCCTTCCATTACCTACAGAAAAATTTAAAGACACATTAATATAAATTTAGAGGCATTTAAAATCTCTTGCTATTGCTGACCCTCCAACCATTTGTATGGGTGTTGTAAATCGGATTTGGACATGTGTACCCTGGTTAGCAAACATTAGCTGGATAGATAACAACCAGTTCTGTCACCCAACGGATCGTGTGGGCTCAGGTCCAATAAAACATCTTGCTTTGACATCAGTTTTCGATTTTGAGTATTTTTATGATTAAATAGAGAGTTTGGAAAAGGCAGTCAAGAATAATAGTCTTAAAAAAACTATTTAGTTCGTAATGTATGAACAGTCTGTTTTTCTACGAATATGTAGATTGTTGTAATATTTCCTGGAACTATAGCTTAGGGAGTAGAAAACCAAGAATTGGATACACACTTTCCTAATTAAAATAGGGGATTCTTTTACAGTAAACAAATTTTCAAGAATAATATTTAAGAAAAGATTTTGTTCGTTTAAGTGAACTTATAAACCTTATATTCAATACTAAAACGACTGCATATGTCTACAGAACGCAAACGAACTGTGAATAAAAAACGAGTATCATTACAATCAGTTGCAGTTCTACGTAAAATCAAGAGACAGTCAACCCTCCAACCGCGACATGCGACTCTAAATGACCAAATAGCCAACTTTAACCACAGTCCGCGATCAATCAAAGGGTAAAATTCGTGCCAGGTATAACCGTCAATATTTGCCAAGCGGTCACGACACCGCTTTAATGTTTACTCTATTATTCACTACACTGTTTGCCAAGTTCAGCCAAGTCGCGCCAAGTCTTGATAACCTTTGTTGGCGTGACTTTTGCTCGTGGCAATTGTTTGATGTTTGTCTCTCTGGGCATTATTCCGTTTCGTAATTTGTTTGCCAAGCTTGGCAGGGTGACTAATCTCGAAAATCTACTGGCTACTCTGTTTGTTTTGCGATGCTTTCATGTTGAATTAAAAAGTAGGTAGGATACTTATCAGGTATAATTTATCTTTATGAATCTAGAAGTAAAATATTTAGGATTTATGCGAAAGACCTAGTATGCAGATGACAAATACATTTAAGTTTATGAGGCTAAAGCACCAAAAAACATTGTAACATTAGCCTTTTTTTTTCAAACAATCCATGTTTTATTAGCAAGCATTAAGTTTGTGAAACTAACCTCAATCACACACGAGGGGCCATTAAAAAAAAACCTTGTAAACTGTCCATAATCACAAATCTAGGCGCTTTGTTGGCTAGCAATTATCAAACGAGAGTTTGATCTCAAAGACACCGCAGTTTCGTAAACGTTTACAGACAAAAAAACATTCAAACGGCATTTGATTTGACGGATGACAAGGTAAATTGTGCTTTAGTGTTTTGGTGTAGAGTTGGAAATATGGTTGTGTTGTAGACTGCACTTTTAAGTTGGTATGCATCACAAATATGAAGCGTGCTATTGTTTCAGCAAATAATACCGAGAAACATTAAGAAGAGAAATCGGGGCACGTACACAAAGGCGCCGCCGAGATAACGCAGGGTCACCCTAGAGTTGATAACCTTATTAAGGTAGAGGTTAATGAATAAAAGACTTAAAAAAACCGAACGTATTATGAGACATGGAGAGCTCATTAGGACCATGATTTACTTTTGTGATTTATAAGTGTCGATTTTAGAGTTAAGTTTCATGCGGGGCAAAGGACCAGAAGTGTAAAGAAATTTTGGTCTTTATGGAAATCTTGGTTTTCTTAACTCATTTCATGCTTGTTGCTATTGTGGTTCGCATGATGAAGAAACTGACAATATTGTTGCGAATTTTGTGAACCTACGATATAAAAGTGGTCTTTTTGGATTAGTAATTTTATTTCCACTTAAACGTGCCCGTGATATCTTCAAAAAACTCAAGGTGCGACCACCGTAATCCACATTGCAGATAGCACAAAGCTTCACCTATCGTACCGAAAAATCTGATTTGTCAAATTTATCGTAGAATCTAGAATGACATTGTAATACCATAGGTGTGTGACGTAGTGTGACGTGTAATCAGGGATTTGTAAACTGAGGTTAAAATAAGAAATTTGAAATTCCAATCTGAATGAGGATTTATTTTTGTATCGAATAGTTACATTTTGCAAGTCTTATGCTACCATGGGGCTTTGATCAATGGTCTTTTTGTTAAATTATATAAGGTCTACATATTCGAAAAAAAAAATAAATTATATTTGAATTTGGAATAACAAAATCGATGTTTTTAATACTAGTGTTTGAAGGGAAAAAATTTAATACTGGCTACTTTTCTGAGATAATTTAATGAAGCTGTTATAGAATCGTCCTCTTCAACCAACTATGGTATCCTCAGCGGTGATGGTTAGAGTTAAAAAAAAGAATCTAGAATAACCACAATAGTTCTACAAATTGTCACAGACCATATAATACAGAACACAGTGGAAAAAGAACACATCAAAATATTCTTAAGTCCAGGGTCAGACCAGTCCCGAACAGGAGGTTTTTAGTCAGTAAGAGTCTGACACTGACCCACACACGTCCCACCTAAGGAAAAATATATTTGATGATATTCTCCACTCACAAAAATAACACAATCTAAATCCCATTTTTATCGCATCGCAAATTTAAAGGCAATGCAATATTTGCAACGAATCCTGGCTTACGCTAACAGACTGATTATATTACTGACAAGCCGATAGTCGGCTCTTATTCATCAGGCCATGACAGAACTGAAAACACTGATAAACCTCCTCTAACTACGTGATTTACACGGACAATCAATTACCAGGCTTCAATTACTGACATTGACAATATAAGCAGTACAAATTTGAAGGTTGAATATAAAGATATACATATTTGTAAAAACATAGTTGTAAAGATAAAGGAAATCGATAATGGAATCTATAGGTAGGCAGGTATGTAAGTGTGTATGTGTTATACTGACAATTGTTGATCAACGGTTTTAAAGAAAGAGTGAACGTCGAAAAAATTATTATTGACCTTTTTTTTTGTAAATTTTTCATCTTTTTTCTGATGATTTTTCTAGTTCTTACTTCGTTTCTTGCGGAGTTTCTTAATGCTTCTTGTTTTTTTTTTATTTAATAGACCGGCAAACCAGCAGACGGTTTACCTGATGGTAAGCAATCAGCGCCGCCCATGGACACCCGCAACATAGGAGTTATGAGTGCGTTGCCGACCTTTTAGGGATTAGGGTTTGGAGATTAAGGGATTGGGGAAGGATCGGGGGAGGGGAAGGATTGGGCCTCTGGTAACCTCACTCACACGGCGAAACACAACGCTGTGGTTGTTTCACGCCGGTTTTCTGTGAGGCCGTGGTATCTCTCCGTTCGAGGCGACCCATTCGTGCCGAAGCTTGGGTCTCCCACACTTTTCTTTTATAGAAGAAGCGGAATCCTCTTCTATTCTATGATTTTCTTTAGCTATTGCTTCATAAAATTACCCAATTATCTTCCAATCTCTAACTAAGAAGAGGCTGAACAATGTATTCTTAACTCCATTGGTGTTGCGTGTTTCCATCTGTGAAGTCGATAACTTATCACTAGGTAAAGCTGCTCTTAAGCCACCTAATATAATAAAAAACTTGGTCCTTATGGTCAATTTCGTTTACAAAATCCTACTTTTGATACGGAAAATGTATATTTTCGAAGCATTGGTTAACAGTGGCAACTTATAATCACTAATAAACCTTCGCGTAATAACTTTGATTATTGTAATCCGCCGAAATGGATTACATATACAAATCCTTTAGAGATTACGCCCGAGGTTTTGCGATAACTATGTATGTATGTATATTATAATGATTTTTTAATATAGATTTTTTGTATGACACGTAATGGGTTGGCTCTAGTTTTTTTATTGAAGCAGATAGTGGTTGGATAAAATAATATTATCAACTTGTATTATTTCTTAAATATCTTCCTACAATAAGGATTTCGGAATTAAATTAATGCAGGTATCTGGGACGCAATATCTTCTTATTATTTGGCGATTGTTACATCACCTTCGTAATATATAAGTTCTTTATGTTTTTTTTTTTATTTCATAATTCAACAAACAAGCAGTTGTATTACCTGATGTATGTTTGTATGATGATGATGACCACTTGTAATGTCATTAGGGATTTGGGGATTGGAAACATAAGCGGTCCATACTTAGTTCATGCAAAGTAAGTTCTATATTCTTTGTAGTGGCCATTTTGACAATTTTAAACTAAACATTGATAGCCAAAAGACTAATAGTGTCATGATTTTTTTTTTCAAATATATATTTTTATTTTTTTCATTTAAATAATGATTTCGTTTTAGATTCCAAGCAAAGAACAAAAAAAGTTGTCAAATCAAATCGTCATGATCTTAAGTTCTACTTCCTTAAAATGATTCACTGACCCCAAATCAGGTTAATTGTCTTTTAACTAGTTTATCCTGAAATTACTGCGTTTTACACCTGACTGTTAGGAAGTTACGTCATTATTTTACTGAATGCATTAGGCACTATATACAGGATGTCCGGTAAAGAACGGATAACCTTGGAATGCCTTTTAGTATATCTTATGGCCATTCAGAAAAAAAACAAAAAGGAAAGTATCATAAGTAGTACCTAAGTTATGATGTCTTGAAGTAGAAGAACTGGTGCTAGAGGTAATAGAAAATGATCTTTCGACATTCACGTACAATACATTATTGCATAACCAAGACTTTATTGCAAAAGTAAATTATGCACAATTTGTCTAAAATAAATTAATTTGCAAGTTTTTATATAAACTATTTTTTTCGTCAATTTATTTTACGTATATTTTCTGAATAGCTGTAAGATATACTTGAATGCAATGCAAGATTATCCACTCTTTACCGGACACCCTGTATATATTTACTGAAACAGAGAACAACCTCATTCCAAAATTAAATAGTGATTGTAAAATATGTATAAGAATACTTTTGGTAAAATTTATAGTCAGTAAGAGTCTGACACTTTCTCTCGAAGTAACCCACCCTAGGTGAGAAAAATAATTTGATAATTTTCCCCTTCAAATAATGGTAAACTTTTAAAACGCAATAAATGCTAAAAGACTCTTGATTTGAAGCAATCAGCAAACGAGATATTAATAAGAAACGTTGTTATAATAAATACATATTTTTTGTTATAAGAAATAAAAACTTATAGTTATGTTCATATAGGTAATAATTTATATAATCGCGATAAAATACATAAAAGAAATCATTAAGACAGTGGGTAGTTATTTACAATCGTTGATTTTCCTAATCTTCAACGATAAAAGGTATTAAAATCATATTATTACGATTGATAAAGATATTAAAAGGGAATGATAACATTTGATTTATGCATATTTACCTACTTACGGCAGATTTATTCCTATTAAGTCACGTGTAATGATATTAACATATTCGCGTCGCTTTCAACATTTTAACAAAACTTCATATTGATTGGGATTAGTAAATAATAGTTTATTACTTGTTTTAGTGGCCATATTAATCCTTTTTTTTATTATAACTTTAGTGAGACATTGCAATTTATTTATTATGTTTTCGACTTACCCAAGTAATAATTTCACGAGATACTCGACTAGTTTCAAGCCAGTAGCAGCGCGACTGCGCGACAGTCGCCAAGTCGCGTGTCGTGGAATGCTGCTCATGAATATGGGCCTCTAGCATGGCTTGAAACTAGTCGAGTATCTCGTCAAATTATTACGTGAGTAAGCCGAAAACATATTTATCCTACTATAATAATATTAAAAAAGTGATAGTTTCTGAGAATGTCGATGTGTCTTTGTTATTCTGTAACTCAAAAACGGATGGACCTTTTTCGTTGAAATTTGATATATAGAAAACACTGAAACAGTGATTGTGATTTATTTTTGTAAATGGTCTGTAGAACTGCACTTTGACACGTCAAAATTATATGTAAAAAACTAGATAAAGCCGGTATAGATAGGTGATATCTACTGCGGATTAACACATAGGCTTTTTATCAACAAAACAGGCGGGTGAAGCCGCGGACAGATGCTATACATTGATAAGTCTGTAATTGATAGTCAATTTGAACTAATGGCCTGTAAAATCTGAAACTGAAGTTGTTTTTTTTTCATTTTCTGTATGTAACGTGAGGTAAGTTAGTGAGCAACTTACCTAAGGTAAATTAAATTTAGATAGATCTTTATACTAAAATATTTTTCAAAAATCTCTAATCAGTTTTTCAGTGGTTAAAATTATCTATTGACTCCCCCCTAGAGATTAAGGCGCTCGCTTCTATTGCATCAAAATGTGGATTCCAAATATGGCAATGATCAAAACATTTTCTGAGTCATTTTATGTACTTTTGAAAACATCGTGAGGATTCTTAGACTAACAATTTCTAACTAGATATAAATCTGAAATAATTAACCATTGAGTAAGCGTGGTGATTAATGCTCGTACCTTCTCCGTGTGAAAAAGGCGTTTATGTACTTATATAGCAGCGAGGTCTTTTTTGAAAGAGAAAATCATATTTTTATTCTTTATTACATAACTTGGGTTGAGGACAGGAAAATGATGATAAGATAGAAATAATAAAGAATTAAATATTAATTATTTATTTGCACAACTAACGTCACTGGCTTATGCTATTATCATTATAAAAATAATCTAAAAATAATGCACATACGTCACAAAACTCCAAAACGGTCGTGCCAGTATTGATAAAACTCGGTTTAAAGCAAGTGCGATTTAAAACCTTATATGTCTAATAATTAAGTTTAGTATATGACCGTCATGTACCGCTATAAATAGTCACACCTATTTAAAGATTTTCAGTACTTAAATGATAAATTTGAGTGTTTAGTTATCATTAATATAGCCATTTATATTTTATCCATAGATCACACAGAGTACATACGTATAATAAGATTACTAAGTCTGAAAATGATTAATTTTAAATTCGGTACCTATAAGATAATCTGTTTTTGAAGACAAAAAAATATCATAGTTATACATATTGTGACGGAAAAGTGGTTCAAACTCTTTGACATCATGACGTCAATGGATGGTTGTCAAACGTTGCCTAGAGATTGTAAATTTCGTCGTGAATTGTCAACACGAGTTGGTGTAATCGGTAAGGCGTGTGGATTACACCACAGAGACCCCGAGTTCGAGTCCCGCCGTAAACATGTAGTTTTTTAGTTGATAGAAGTTTTGTGGAACTTTCTGGAACTATTTGTGTGAAAGAAATAAAAAATTAAAGAGCGAGAAGGAGAATAAATAAAAATGAGTAACGAAATTATTGGAAGGTTCTGGAGTCATGACGATCAAAAAGAAAAACGAAATTGAATGTTCCAGAACCTGAACCGGGGGTATATAAGCGGAACTGCGGCTCACCGCCGGCAGTTGAGTTCTAAGTCTAAAGCGATTCGGAAGAAAAGGAGGAAGTGAAAAAGAAGAAAAGTGAGTGAAATAGTGAAGTGCAGTGAAATAGTGAAGTGCAGTCAGTTAAGTGAGTTAAGTCAGCGTGAACGGCAAAGTTGTGTCAGTCGGCCGGACTCTGCTGGAGAGGAACGCCGATAACTTAACTCCGTGGACGATGTAACTTAAGTGCAATAGAAAGTCTGAAATCTGGTATTAGTGTTTCATTTCATCCAATCCCGTAACCCAAGCCCGCATAGCCAGGAACGTGACGTCAGGCACGTAACAATATTTAAGCCATGAAATTCTTTTAAAGATTTTCGACTTACGTAAAAAAAGGATAAAGTTGATAATGTATTGAAGAATTTTGATCCGAATAGGTCATTTTAGCCACTACGTAAGCGTGGAAGAACCATGCCTCGGTACGAATGGGCCGGCGCGACCAGAGCTCAGAGTGATACCACAATCTCAGAGAAAACTGGCGTTAAACAACCACAGTTTTGTATTTCGCCATATAAGTTAGGTTACCGGCCCACAACGCATTCACAACTCCTCTGGTGTGGCGGGTGTCCATGGGCGACGCAGATTGTTTACCATTAGGTAATCTATCTGTTCGTTTGTCGTCACATCACATAAAAAAGGAGGAGAGGTACGTATCATGGAGGTTATCAGATTCAGAGTTCGATGAAATTTTGATAAAAGTTTTTCAAATTCTTTGTAACATCGCAACATTTGGACCTACATTTCACTATTTATCTATTAATTAGTATCTGCTGTGATAAAATAAACTTTCTTCCTTTGAAATAAAGAATTAATTAGTCATAGACTACTG